CGGGGCCGCGCGCCGTCCGGAGCTCGCCCCGCGCAGCCGGCGCTCGCTGCGGAGGGCGCAGCCGGTTCGGCCCCCGGGCTAGATTCCTTCACTGACACAACTCCGGGTCGGCCCGCTCCACGCAGCGACACTCCCGCCCCTCGTAGGCTGCCCCCGCCCGCCGGCCGGCCAGCCAGCCCGCCCCTCGGTGTCACTCACCCAGGCGCACACACCCCGAGCCGGCGCCCCTCGCTCCCGCTCGCACACACAGCGCTGCTCACGCCTCTCTCGGGTTTTGTATCCGCTCACACGCACGTTCTGACACAGATCCCTTCCCTCCACACGCCCTCCCTAGCTCCTTTCCCACCCCACTTTCTAGAAGAATCCCCGTACAGCTTCGGCGCTTTGCCTGCCCCACAGCAACCTCCTCGCCTTTCCCCGAGCCCCCGCCTCACTTAAACTGCCCCTGTTATTCAAAGGTTTTGCCACACCCCGCACGTGTTGCAGGAGAGACATCCTCCCGTACCCAGGAGAATGAACTTTGCTCCCCCCAGCACCGTCTACAAATGCAGGATGCTTCTATTTTTAGAAAGCACTGATGCTTTCTGGTGCTGAGCCAAGCTCAAAATGTAAACAAAGGTAGCCGATTCCGAAATGACCTGAAGAACCAGACAGGGTACTGGGTTTCGTTGGGTCTGACCTTAGAAACGCGGCTAACCGGGAGTATCCCGGCTCCTCCCTTTCGCTGCCTTTCAGGCTGGAGGACGGGTTGCTCTAAAAGTGCGTGATAACCAAGTTCCGGATAGACACCGTGGGCACCAGCCCATGGATTTCTGCCTGGGAGTACAGTAGTCAGGAGAGTAAAGGCAGTTTCTCAATCATTATTCATGATGGAAGCACTTTAGATAACACACCTCTTCCAGAGGCAGTAGAGTGAAATGCAGGCATCTTTCCAGTTTTTTTTTTTTCAGGGTGACTTAACCTCCCTTTTTCTCAATACCAATAACCGTTTCTCAGCGGCTCCTTGGATGTCAAAGCCCCTTGCAAATACGCAGGCCGGAGTTACTTAACGCCTCTCACGCTCCAAGCTCTAAGGGGCCCCTGAGTGTATAGCAGAATGGTATATCATCCGGTGTTTAGGAATTCATAATTTGAAATTAGATACAAACACCTTTCTGGTAAAGTTCAAATGTTCCAACAGTGTGCCCCTGTGGACAAAGCACAGCCCTAATAAGGGATAAAGGAGCCGAAAGCCAACGAACCTATTTTCTTTTGTGACTTGTGGTAACGGTTCTTGTTGCACTGGATTGGTGTATGGATCATATAATTTATTTTAAAATACTTGTAAGTGCTTTATAAGTATTAACTTATTTAATCCTTCAAACAGTCCAATCAGGTAGGTAGTATTTTTGAACTTTTTTCATAAAGAAACTGAGGCACCGAGAGGAGAAATGTTAGAGGGAGGGTTTGAACCTACACAATCTGGCCCCCCTATGCTACAGAAAGGAAAACCTGCTTCTAGAAGCCATATTACATGTAAATATAAAGGATAAACATCATATTGCTTATTGAATTTAGATGGAAAGGTAACTTGTAACAATTTGACTTGGAATTTGATGCACTTTTTAGGTCCTCTGACAAAATAATTCACTTAAGTTTTGGGGAGTTTCTCCTCATAATTAGAATTCCAAAATGAGTAATAAATTATTGTTTACCTAGGAAAGGCTTTGGAAAGAACATTGAACTCAGTCTTCATTCCTTCCTTCTACCACTTCATTACTTCCTAGGACTCCAAATCTAATTTGTTTAGTAAAGTCTGAAAGAAGAAAGCCTTCAAGACCTGAATATGACCAGAGGGAAGAAATGGTTTTCAGAAGCCCATACATGGCCTTTTACCTTTAAGGGCTATTTCCCAGTAAGTAGGTAGTAACCACAAGAATAGCTGGTGTGTATATTGAGAGTGAAAATATTAAAGCATTGAATTTGATGAGAAATAAATAAATGGAGAATGGGTGTATAGTAGTAGCCACTGTACCACAAACTAGACTAAAACTAATTTTCTACTGGGAATGGAGTGGAGGCCTAGTCCATGAAAAGACAATTATAAAGTAACTAAAGAAAATAATTACAACTTTCAAGGGTTATTAAGGGACCTAGCAAAAGAAATCAGACTTTTAAAAGTTTATACACAGTGAGTTTCAAATAAAACTTAAACCTTTTGCTGTTCAAATTAATTTACTCTTAGAAAAAAAAAGTGAAAACTTTCTCGGAGAGAGGGTTTATTCAATAAGCATGTAAAAATTTCTTGGACATCAAATAACTAGCAAAGCAGTATTTTGATGAGTCAAGCATAAGTGATTTTTAAAATATATGAATTACATTCCTATAATTACGTGGAGATATAAAAATCCAAAGAAATAAAATATGAAAAAGATATGTATTGGTGCTGGCACCAGATATTGAGAATTTATTTGAAAAATTACGTTATTTGAAATTTTGATCAGAAGGTTATCTGTATAATGCTAACATGACTCTTTTTCAAAATGATTCTCTATGATTATAATCTGTGAATCTCATTTTACTATTTTCTAAGCTAAATGGAAAAGTGAAAGTCTTTTCTTCAGCAAACAAGCAAGAATCGTAAGAGTAGACATTTTCTGAGAGATGAACAAAGTATGTTAGTTTGTATATTATAATATTTCCATATAGGTATTTTTAATCTGTGTCTACTGCTTTCCTCCATATTGTCACTTACACCCTTTATCTGATGTGCTTAATTGTAAGCGTGGGGGAACCATGCATATCCGGCAATGAGGCTGACCTTTTCCTTGAAAGATTTCAGCAAAATGCCATATTTCCTATTTTCCATCTTCTAGATTGTCCTGATTCTCTAGCCATGGCCATTCAGAGCAGGGTTCACATTCATGGAAGCAGCTCAGATCCCAGAAGCCAGTTTTAGGCCATGGTCAATTGTCTTTATCAGAATTTTGGCATCCGAATAAGTATGGAGACAGAGAGTGATTTTTAGTTGCTAGGCTCCAGACCACTGATCGCTGGGCTCCAGGCCGCTATCCAGACCTACTGGAAGCCCTTTCATCTAGAGATCCTTGACTTTGACTAGGTGCAGGGACTGGGTACAATCTGGGAGATCTCCCTTTGGGAGGAGTTGAATGTGTTCTGTGTGTGTGAGTGTGGTGTTCATTAGAGCTGTTTACAAATATTCCAGCTCTGCTTTCTTCAAAGCATATGGTAGGATTGTGTGTCCCCAGCATACGAAGTACAGGGTAGCTCTGCAACTTGCTGCAGCCAGTGAAATCAGCTCTGGGCAGAAGTTAACAGCTAGTGTGTGTATCACCATGTTCTCTTTTCCCCTGTAGCACTACAATCAGCAAGGTGCCTGGTGGTGGCTGCTCCACTGGACAGCAGTGCATGATGATAATGAGCAATGCCACCCTTGCTGACCTTCCCTTCCTGGACAGGAGTATGAGTGAGAAATAAACCTTGTTGTTTTAAACCACTGAGATTTATGGGTTGTTTGTTTCTGCAGTATAATCTAGCCTATTCTGATTACAAGTAGGGAGGAAAAAAGAAACAAATAATTGCAGGGCATACTGTGGCAGAGAATGGCTAATAATTCCACAACTCTGTTTCTCTTTTCTCCCTGGTGCACAACTAATTCACATTTCTCAACCTCCTGTGTAGTGAGGTGAGGCCATGCGACTGAACTGCGCCCAGTGTAATGTAGATGAAAGTTTTGTGCTCCACCTCCAGCCCCAACCGTGGAAAACCTCCTGCATGATCTCTCAGTCTCCATCTGCCATATGGAAATGAAGGGTTCTGAGACTCCAGAGCAGGAGTCAGCAAACTTTTTCTATAAAGGGCCATATGGTGAATATTTTAGGTTTTGTGGATCATGAGGTCTCTGTCATAAATATCTGCTGTTTTAAAGTAGTCATAAGCACTTTGTAAACAAATGGACATGGTTGTGTTCCAATAACGCTTTATTTACAAAAACAGGCAGTGGGTCTACGTGTCCTGGGGGTGGTAATTTGCTGACTCCTTACCTAGAGGAGGGTAGAAACACAGGATGGAGGGAGCCTGAATCTCTGAGTCACTCTATGGTAGTTACTTGCTGAACACACACATTGAAATGTTATCTGAGTGAAAAAAGCAGCCTTCTGATGAGTTAAGCATAACAAATATGCTATCTTATTCCAGATCCAGAAAAAATTCCAGATGGATTAATAATCTAAACAAAGAAAACTATAAAATACTAAAAGAAAATGTAGGAAACTCTCTTACAGTATTGGTTATCTTAATAAAACTAGTTAGAAATATCATGATAAAAACCCCAGAAACTATAACAGAAAAGACTAAACAGATTTGACTACAAAACAAATGAACTACCCAAACATTTCTATACAGTGATGGGTACCATAAACAATATTAACTAATGGGAGAAACTATATGCAACATATATACACATTAGGAGTTAATATGCAAAATAACAAGTAGCTTCTAGAAATCAATACAAAAAAGAGAACCAGCAAGATAAGAAAATGAAGACAGGACATGAAGAGGTAATTTTTCAAAAGAAGGAATATGTGCCAATAAGCATATGGAAACATATTCAGCCTCATCAATGATCAGAGTGTAAATAAGAACAAGACAGCATTTTTTACTTATTAGATTGGCAAAGAAGTGTTTTAATGTAAGGTGTTTGTGAGTGTGTATAAAAACAAAACAACTTTCATACTCAATTGACTATAGTATGAATTGATAAACATTTCTGGAAAGCAATTTGCAGTATCTGTAAATATTAAAAATGCATATATATTTTGACCATGCATTTCCACTACAAGTAGTCTATCCTACAGAAATACTAAGTGTGCAGAAATATATTTACATGTATGTCTATATACATGTAAATACTATAATACAAATATTATAGTATTATTTGCAGGAGGAAAAAAGTTAGACTCCACCTCAACATTTATGAATAGAGGAATTGTTAAAAAAAATGGAGTGTATGTACACTGTGGAATAGTAAATAACTGTTAAAAACCAGGGAGCTATGCATGTGTTGACATGGAATAGTGTTTATGATATATTTTTGCGTGATAAGAGCAAGTCAGAACAATATGTACAGTACGTGCTCTAAAAAGAGGGGAAGGAGGGTGGAAATCTACGTATCTTAAAGGATAGGCACACTGTTGACATTGGTAACCGCTGGGGTAGGGCTCTTCCATTTTTAACTTTGTACACTTCTCTTTTTCCCTTTGTATATAAT